TGTAACCGATGTTTGTCTTCATTTTTATACGTCAGTTCTCCATCTTCATTAGTGAAATGATGGCATTTGTCTTTATTCACTTCCACAGGGTCTAAAATCAAGATATAAAATAACAAATTCAATCAAAGAAGGAAAATGAGAAACGAAAAAAAATCAAGAATTAATTTTTAATGCAGAACAAATCTAGTTTACTACGGAGTCTACTAGTATCTAGTTCTAGATGTATTGTTATATACTTATGAGAACCAGAAACATAAGATGTTTCTTTGTGAATTTAGTCACATTGTTTGTGGCATGAGAAATCATTGGAGAATTGTTTCTATTTTATTCTTGTTTCATGCTGTCTGTAGAGGACACCAGGACTCAGTTATTAAGAAAATAAAATGGCATGATAAGACATGTAAAGGCGGAAACAATGTTTTATTTTCTTTCATTTACCAATAAATGATTAGGTTTCAAGCCATTCTAACCAAACTTTGTATAAAGAGTATTTTAAACTATGTTATGAAATATATGACGCAAACAATGACGCAAATTTTGTTTTGTTTTTGCACCGTTCCCGGAGGTACAGATCGGCACACACACTTGTTACTCAGTGTCGACCGGGTGTGCGGCGGCAACTATGGACATGCGCTGGGCTCTTCTCGCGGATCGCCGCAGCTACAGCTTGTGTCGGGACTAGAGCCCGACCGATAAAGGATTTTGAAGGCCGATACCGATACAAATATTTTTGGGTTTTAAAATCCGATATATCGGCCGATTTTTTTTTTTATTAAATATTGAGAAAAAAAAAAGTTTATTAAATATATATTATATATAATATATAAGTTCTCCACAAGATACATTTGACACTTTTTCTCTGTCTAAATGTTCACTCCTCGCAAGTCTAACTTACATTTTACAATGCAGGGACTGTAACTAGAGATATGCTAGTTATAAATACAGTAATCATTCATTTATTTAGCCAGAAAAAGTTCATTGTGGTTTCCAAGTTCATTAATGTTAACGTTAGCGGTCTTCCACTGATGATAGTGGCATTAGCAAGCTTTGTGGTTAGCTAGTCTTTGATGAGCCATAATTTAGCAATAGATAACATCATACTGCAAATTGTAAAACAGAATTTTCAATACAACAGGCCAAGGAGAGATGATTGAAGCGTGTTTCATCGGTTTTTATTTTTATTTTTTAAATATTCATTTATTGGCCATTATAACTGCCGATACCGATATTTTGGAAAATGCCTAATATCGGCCGATAATATTGGTCTGGCTCTAGTCGGGACCTCCGCCTGGGCGTCTCCCCTAGCGGGGCGGCATCCAGGTGGTGTCCGCCCGGCACCTAGCAAGACGGCTTATAACTGGTGCGGACCTGGGGAATCCGTCTGTTTACACAAAACAAAACATTGCGAAGGCCCCAAGCGGGTGTTGACGCGATGTGATTTCTGCCCAGTGCTCTGAATGTCAAAGTGAAGAAATTTAATGATGCGCGAGTAAACGGCGGGAATAACTATGACTCTCTTATTATTATCGGGTGAATTCTTCTTCAGTCAATCTGCATTTACATGGACCCTTATAATCGGATTAACAGCTCAATTGGACTAAAAAAACCTTCATGTAAACACCTTAATCGATCCAATTAAGCTCGATCCGACTAGAATTTCGATAGGATTGAAAGGGGTGGTTTACTCCTTTTGTAATCCAACCGAGAGAACATGTAAACACTCAGATTGAAAACCGAAACTAAAAGGACTGCGCATGTGCAATGAGGTTGAAATAGCGTAATGACGTATGACGCACGGAACGAGCTGTTCTTCCTGTTGAATAAAGTGTCATATAAATGAGAGTTCTGTTATTACAAAATTCTCATTTCACTCAGTGTCTGTGAAGTGAAGGAGGACAATGTCCCACCAGTGCTTGTTTTAGATTCTCATCCACAGACGACTTTTGGGGGCGGGGTTTTACTGCGTGATAAATACAAGCAGCACGGCAAAACGGTTCAAGCTCATCGTCTGCAATTCATGACCAGAGACGGATAAATATTAAATCTGTTGTTTAAAACAAATACAGAACCAATAGGGGAGAATAGTTATGCGTGAACAGTGGCATATTCGTGTAGTGTGCGCATGTCAAAAAATCAATTCCGATTTGTGACATATAAACGCGCACTACCATCATTCAGACCGGTCTGGGTGAATACTCGATTCTGATTGGCTGCAGGGTGTCCGTTAAAAAGTGATAGAGGACACCTAATAAAGTAGTTCTGGTGAAACTACCTGTTTACCATTCGAAATTTATAAATAAATGTGCTGCCTACAACAGCTGTGAGTAACCATAGCAACAGGCATTCAAAGTATCCGTTAACGATTTGCTTTATCAAAACAAACATCTTACGTTAGTTAGATATTACATAGCCTACTAATACAACAATGGGCGATTCGTTATTTCTTTTAACATTTATGGAGAACATGACAACTTTGACGACTGGGATGCTGCTGAAGAAAGAAAAAATGTAAATAAAACGGAGAAACGTCACAAAGTAAATTAACTTACACCGCTGCTGCTCTGAATGAGACCCTTTACGCCGGGTTCACACCGGACGCTGAAGCGACGCGGAACGGAGGCCGCTTCCTTTCGGCGCCCATGTTAACATATGGTGTCTTTCACACCAGGGGCCTCATGCATAAAACTTTGCGTAGATTTCATCCTTAAAGTGTGCGTACGCACATAAGGCAGAATTTGCGTACGCACAAAAGTTTTCAGATTTATAAAACCGTTCGTACGCCAGAACCTGCGCAGAATTCACTTTATAAAACCCAGTCAGCGGGAGATTATGCGCACGTGCGTCTCCTCCCCGAAATAACCATATATGGAGATTACAACGCCTAGTTTAAATATTCATATCCTCATCTGCATATCATTTGCATATGATTATTCATCCACGTGATACCAAGTAGTTTAACGGTACAAGACGTTAGGAAAATATGAAATGCGGATGTGCCGTCACATTATTACAAACATTTTTTTTAGTAGCCTATATCCTTGCCTTGTTTTTGAATGAATAAATCAAATGGTGTTAAATACATTTCAGAGAAAGTTTTTCTCAATCTTTTCCACTGGCCAAATAGTATTTTTAATTGATTTATATTTTAATGGATAATGGAAGAGATTTTAAGGGAAGAGATAGACATGGTTGTGCATTATTTGCACGAAACAGTTTTCTCAGACAATCTCTAGTTAAAACATTAAAACACAGCATGCCAGAAGAAAAGTGTTCAAAAGCAATGCATCCACAACAAATAGGTCTATTTCTATTTATTGAATATATATATATATATATATATATATATATATATAGTAACTTCTCAGTAATGATTTCATGTAGTTTAAGAGTTTAACTCCATTAATGAGAATGGCATATTTAATCTAAATGTTTATATCAAAAGTAAAACATAGTTTAAACCATTTTCTTATTTATTTAAACTGTTATTGTGAATATGGACTGTATTTATGATTTGGACTCATAATGAAGATTTACGGTTTTACTCCATCTGCCGTTAGATTATAGGCTATATGCGTCAGTTTCACCAAACGCCCCAACGCGCGTGCAGGCGCGGTCATTTAAGAAGGGATGGATGTTTGCTTCAAGTGATGATAGGTTTGTGAAATTATATTTGTATTATCTTTCTGTAGATGTATAATTTTCTTTAGACTCTCTGTCTAATAGTAAGCAAAAAGACATTTGACTCCAGCTCACCATCGGTGTCGCCAAAACCCATAGGCCTACTCTTCTAAAAGAGTGCGTACGCACGGTCAAGAGCATCCTTACGGTGCGCACTTATTTACGCCAAGTTTATTTTTTATAAATCCCGATGTGCGCGTGGAAAAATGCGTACGCATATTTCTATGCCCATTTTGTGCGTACGCAACGTTTATACATGAGGCCCCAGATGCGGAGCGCCGCTGCGAGGCGCAGCCAGCCTGAGCCGTGAAGAGCCAGTTTCGGCGTCTGGTCTATTTTTTCCGCGAGCCACGAGTGATCCGCGTCAATTCCGGAAGGAAGTTACACCAAGAAACACTCAACCATCCGGTAAATTGTCAAAATATAAGCAATTTTCAAATTAAAATACCGCGAGTGACAAATGTGAACACACAATCAAACAGGGAAACAACGAGAGAGAGACGCAGGCAGGAGTTGATAAGTGAAAATGGAAGATGAAAATAGATTTCATAAATTTGAAGAGAGGATGTATATTTCAACAGTAGCCTATATTTACACTACTATAACTGTCTGCCTATTATCTCTCTGGCTGCGTGTGTCTCGACAACGGATTAATAAAAAAGTGTACAAACTTCTTGGTTACACAGATATATGGTGTATATTATGAGGTTATTTAACTACCCATGATGTAAAAAAAATTAGCTCTGAATAAACAACAACAGAGCAGAAGCGCTTGTTGACCTACGCGAGGAATACGCATCAGGTCTGAACAGACTATTTTCCGTTCCACGCCGTATCTGCGTCGCTTCAGCGTCCGGTGTGAACCCGGCGTTACGCTTGCCATTTGATGTTGCGCAAAGTTGTGGTGGCCGCGCCAGCGCAAATTTTGTCGGCAGGAAAAATGGTCCAAGGAATTGTTCGGTTTGTATGCTTAACGAACCGGAAGCCTCGAACCCGAAACGGTTAAATAGGAATACATGCGTTAAACCCCTAATTCATGTAAACACCTTGATCGAATTCACCAATCGTATTGATTTCATTCCGATTGTGTCCATGTAAACGTAGCTAATGTCAGTCAGTTCTAGGAGTGGGAGTTTGGCATTTCTGAAAAGCCCCGAATGTGCTCTTTACAGGACTGTGACATGAATGATCTGAGAAATTAGCTAAAATATAAATGTCCTCTACAAAGGATAAAGTCTATGCCTGGGTCTCAAGAGGATTTGTGAGTTTTTCATCTTAATGTTCCTCATCATTGATTAAAGAGAATGAAGGAAAGCACAAACCTATTTGTTCCTCTGTATCTTCATCTTTTATTCTCCAGGGTTCTTCCTTAATCTCCATCTTTACAATAGTATGTCCGTAGTGTCTCCTGGAGTAATTCTGCTTGCTTCTTCTCCTGTGGGAAAGATGGGAATATTCCCCAGCATTTAAACTCTCATTGTTAAGAAACATTTCGAATATTTTTTTTTTTTACACAACAAACCCAGCTATGCAGCAAAACGCTAAACATAATAATAATAATAATTAATAAATTCTGAACATTGGTTCTTAGTCTTTATTCACCTTTTTTATCATGGTTTCTCAAAATAATATAAATATTAAATAGATTTTCTTAGCTTTAATAGGGGCAAACTGTAATGCAGTGTTATACTTTTTTTTTTTTTTTTTAATTTTGGGGCATTTGGTTTGTTGATATGGTAGTAAATACACAAAGTTTCGTCATGCTAGCATGTGTTTCACAAATAGCACCGCAATAGTTCCCTACATCCCCACCCCAGCCTACATTAAACATTGTTTACCAGGTTTAACGTTAATTAATTTACTATGTGAAATGAAAAAAACACAACTCTCATAATCTTCAAAAAATGTAACGTTAATCTGAAATACAGTCAGTAACGAGTTTACGGAGCGTATTGAACAACATCAGTCGGTTCATTTCGATTCATTTCTGAGCGATTCACTAAATGGACAGACTCGTTTAGATTTTTTATTTGTCCTATTAAATGATAAAATTAATGTACTCACAGTCTGAAAAAAGGGCAGATTTAGAACAGAATGAACGGCTGTGTTCCACTGGTCATGTTTATGTTCCCTTCCCTCGCTCACTTCTTCTTCTTCTACTTCAATTTTTAAATGGCGGTTGACAACAATTTATTGCATTACCGCCACCGCTGGACTGGAGTGTATAACAGGAGCAATATTTTCTATAAAATTTAATTATTTTCAAAAGCCCTGTATTTTTTAAAAACAAAACCAAAAAATGAAAAATCTTCTCAGCATTTCTTTGTAAAATATTATTGTATTCAAATATAATTTCATTGGCTTCTACTTGAGCAATAAGCCTCTGCTTATAGCTTGATAATATTTTAAACAATGAATCAATACATGCTCTATTGTTTCAGGGGTATAGGTTGCCATCAACATGTTTTTTCATTAGAAATAAGGTACTATTAAGATAAGTTAGGTATGCCCAATTCTCAATCTGGACCACTTCCTCATGTCTAGATCTAGAACCTCCAACCTTTTTAACTTTAGGCTGTATCCTAAAAATATGTCTCCCAAATGATTCATTATCCCAAAAGAAGTGCCATTTTTTCATAAGTTCTTGTTTTAATAATACTCTTAACCTCTGCTTTACTATATTTTATGTCAACATCAATGTTGTCTTTCCCTGTTGCTTCTTGGCATATATATCAGCCAACTCATTCCCCTCCACCCCTATGTGGGCTGGAACCCATAAGAAGGAAAATTTTAAACCCGCCTTTTGCAATCCACTTGCTAACTGTAAAATTTCTAGAAGAATGTCTTTCCTAGATCCTGAGTGTGAATTCTTGATACTTAAAAGAGCAGAACTAGAGTCAGATACTATAACTATTTTTCTATTACCCCTATTACTTTCTACCCATAACAGGGCAACGCTCACTTCTCCTAGACTCGGATATGTGTCATTGCTTCTGTTGCTCGAGCGCCTCTACTGGCCGAAACCAGTAAGCAGTGAAACAGTAAAGCACTCTCTTTTCCGCCCAATAACCAGCCATCAATACACACAAACCTTTAGAAATTTGTTGCTGCTAAAACAGTACTAGTTGAGAGCTCAAAGCTCGCGATCACCGCTGCACTCACACTGTAGAAACCACCAGCACTGGGAGAGTCTTCCAGAAGAACACCGACACACTCGATCGTTGTAAACAACAGGACTCTTCAGGCATTTCACGCACGCCAATTACATTGGGTTGTTTTAAAGGATTAGTTCACTTTTGAAAAAACTTTTGCTGATAATTTACTCACCCCCATGTCATCCAAGATGTCCATGTCTTTCTTTCCTCAGTCGAAAAGAAATTAAGGTTTTTGATGAAAACATTCCAAGATTTTTCTCCTTGGACTTCCATGGGAACCAGGTCCAACCGAGGTCCAAACGACAGTTAATAACAGTTTCAGATGCAGCTTCAAATGTCTTTAAACGACACCAGACAATGAAGGGTCTTATCATGCGAAACGATCGGTTATTTCAAAACTTATTCCAAAAATGTAACTTTTCTAAGGACAAATGCTAGCCTTGCTCTATTCTGTGAGGCGCGTTTGTAACGTCACGTAATACGTAATTACGTTCAAAAGGTCACGGGCGACGTAGCCAGAAGTAGATCTCACTAAACGACAAATTAAAAACAATGTACCATTTAAATCGATTGCTGGACATTTTATTAACAAGTGTGTTACAGCCATGTGCTATTTGTTCCTTGTGCACCCCTAACTACTGGTCTCCTGCTGTTAAATCTATGTTTAACAGCTGTTAAATTTGACTTCACAACTTCTCAGGCACCATGGACTTCCATGCTACATGTTTTCTGTGTCCTTGTGTGTGCAACGTTACCATATCCCTTGTCATGCAGTTATGGTTCTGAACACAAACAACAAGTTGAAAAAGTTAAGTAGGCTACATTTTCAAAGTCCTTAGTAGATATTTGAATTTTGAATCTTTAGACTTTATCCCAATCAAACATATTTGAGGAGATAGTGTTTCTATAATCTCTTGCTTGTTGTATATGAACGTTAGAAAGTTGCAAATGGTTTCCGCCAGTAGAGGCGCTGGAGCAACCGAAGAAATGACACACACCCGAGTCTAGGAGAAGAAGAGAAGTGAGCAAGGCAAGGGAACATAAACATAAACACGAGAAGTGGAGCACAGCCGTTCATTCTGCTCTAAATGTGCTGTTTTACTGTGAGTACATTCATTTTATCATTTATTAGGAGAAATCTAAATCCAAACGACAAAACTAATCAGTTCATTTAGTGAATCACTCAGAAATTAATCCAAATAAACCGACTGATGTTGTTCACTACTCTCGTGAAACGTAAACTCGTTATTGACTTTTTTCACATTACAATTTGCAGAGATTATGAGTTGTTTTCATTTTATGTTATGAACCTGGTAAACATGTTAATCATTTCAAATGTAAGAGCAACAAATATCAGCCAGAGGAGTTAAATTGTTTCTAAATGGCTATTAGAGCAAAACAATTAAAGTTGAATAATCTCGAGTGATTGTAAGAGTGATGATCATCTGCTAAATGAGCAAGTGCAACAACGACCACAATTCACTCCTTCAGTCAGTGAAGCTCCCACAGCCGTTCATGAGAATATATATACTGGGGAATATTCAGTTTCCCATCTTCCCACAGGAGAAGAAGCAGCAAGCAGGAGGAATTACTCCAGGAGAAACTACGGACATACTAATATAAAGATGGATATTAAGGAAGAACCCTGCAGAATAAAAGATGAAGATACAGAGGAACAAATAGGTTGGTGTTTTCCTTCATTCTCTTTAATCACTGATGAGGAACATTAAGATGAAAACTCACATTCATGTAACAGTTCTGTAAATAGCACATTCAGGGCTTTTCAGAAATACCAATGTTTGGAGGTTTCACCTTGACAAATCCCTTAATTTTTTGTTGTAGTCATTGTTGACAATTACTGCATGATCAAAGTTTTGATATTTTGTAGTTATCATTTAAACAGTAATTTTCAAATTGTTTGTCTTAAAAAAAACATATCAGAAAAACTTTATTGAGTTTCAAATCAGAATAGGACTTTCTTTATAAAACAGGGCATCGATTTCATGCGTGTTCTCTGTAGATCTTTTTTATATACATCAATAATCCTATTAATTATGAAATATTCTTATGAAAATGTTGTCAAGTTATTCCTCCCATTATTGTACTTCTTTTACATGTCGCCATAAGAATACATTAATATGCAAATAATTACATTATATTGAATGAGACTACACATTTATAGCAAATTTACAAACATATTCCCTAAAATAAAATAGTGTATCAAATTATTCTTATATCTTTCATAACATAGTTGAGGATTATCTTTATACAAAGTTTGGTAATTATTGCCTGAAACCTAAAAATGTATTGGTATATTAAAAAAACACACACACAACAATAACCAAAGAAACAATGTTTTGCCTATACATGTATTATAATGGCATTTTTATTTTTTTAGTAACAATCCAGGGGGCCGTTCTTTGTATCTCACTTAACCTGTTAGCCTGCACCCCCACTTAAAAAATAATGTATTAATAATAATAAATTAATACATGGCATACTCAAACTAAAACAGTTTATGAACACTTTGCATAAACACATAATTATGGTCTCATTTGAAAGCACACTTGACAGTTTATAGTAAATAATAAATTAATTGTTCTTATAATGAAATATACTGTATGTTATAAATAGCCTAGTTTTCAAAGTTTGTAAAGTTATTATGAAATATCCAACATAAGTTTGCATCTAGATAGATTTGTGTCTACCCTCATGGACTTATTAGATACTACAGTAATAATTTCACAAATATTTCCAAGTAGCCACATGGCACAGAACCCAACATAGTATAACTATACCACTAAAAATAAGTACACATACAAACAGAGAATGCTATTTGAAATGCACTGCAGCTAAAGCCACATGCCTGACCATGTTATATTTCAAATATGAAGATAAGTCCAAAACTCTGAATTTAATTAAAGGGATACTTCAGGAATTAGCATTAAGCTTTGTATCAGTAGACCAAAAGTTTGTTTTGCGCCGGACTTCTCCTTTAAGGGTGGTGCTTTAAGATAATGTTGGTCATTCAGTGTTTATGTAAAAAAAAATAATAATAGGAAGAATTATTAAAAGATACTAATTCTACTACTAATATTAAAAAATATGCAATGCACTAAGAATTGATGAGCTTTTGAATGCATGAATATTAATCAAAAAACTTATTGTAATTGTAATAGATAATAGTAATAATTATTAAAAGATAATTACACAAATTGTCCACACTAATACGTTTTGGTTTGAAAACGTATATTTTTGTCTCCAGTTTGGCCTTCCGTCCACACTGAGGCGGTGATTTAAGTCAATGAAAATGTAGCTTTTGGAAAACACTCTCCAAAGCGGATACATTTGAAAACGCTGTTTTCGCGTGAAGCCGGAGGTATTTTAAAACGATGATGTAAGTTTAGTCATGTGATTCATGTTGTACCAATAGATTTTCATGTTTACTGGTATAGTGCCTGTTATGTGCTATTCACTATTACACTGTTGATAAAATATGTTACTTTGCACACTCTGCACAGATGACAGAAAATGTACTCACATTTGCTGTCCTGCGGCAATACAGGAGAGCAGTCGCGTTTCAGACCAAACATATGGTTACTGAGTGCGACCTGAATGTGATCAGTGATGGTGAGATATTTTGCTAAATAAAATAATCCTGTTTGAAAAATTGTGCAATAACTTTATTATTTATTTTTCCATCTGAATCACCTCAGTGAGCTTTTTTGAGGTTTCACACATGCACAGTAAGGTGAATTTTAAAGTTTCTCATTCACACTGAAACGTCGGAAAACACCTGAAAATGCTAGTGTGGACGGGGAGCGTTTTTAAATGAAAACGCCGTTTTCAAATTTATCCGGATTAATGTGGACGTAGCCTAATATTAACAATATCCAATGCAGTAAGAATTGATGAGCTTCTGAATTCATGAATATTAATCAAGTTGTCCGTGTTCACTCAAACTGATTTGCTGAAATTAAAATAGTGATGAGTGCTAGCCAATGGGATTGCCGTTTGTGCATTATTTGCGACCAGTACTGGAGAAACAATTCAATTATTCAATTCAGTTCAATTGTAAATATATCTATTAAAAGACTGATATTCAGGTCTGTAACTCCTCCCCAGACTTCCCCAGAGATCTTGCTTTCTCATTGGTTGTAGGTCATCGCCGATGTAATTTTCAGTCAGAGCACATTTCAGCACATTTCATTGCATGCCAAATATCTCACGGGCTTCTCTGACTCATCTGCGATTCTCTCAGATCGGGTCTTTGATAAAAAGTACCGATTTGGCTTTGATTTCGACCATTTATTGGCAATTTTACTAAACTCTTTTCGCTGAATTTCGAATTGGTAAGTGAAGATGGGGGCTAAAATTGTGCAGTGTGAATTCTGCATAAGGCTCTGATTTCAACCTTTTGTTGACAATTTCGCAAAACGCTTTTCGCTGAATTTCGAATTGGTCATTGAAGATGGGGTCTAAAGTCGTGCAGTGTGCACTCTGTATAAGGCTCTCTCTCTTGTTGCGTGTGTGTGAAAAACGGCGATCTTAGCAAAGCAACTGCGAGCCGTGCGCCCTCACGCTAGTTTAGAGTTTATGGTACGTCAAATACAGTTACTATGCACATCCATTAAGCTGAATTGAAATATGTCAAATCACTTGACTGAGTGAAACTCTCAAGCACTCAGACAGTGTTCAGCAAGTTAAAATATATTTATTCTAAACGTATACTTTGCCTCTAACACACACAAGTATATATTAGGCAGTGGCTAATGATAGACATGATTTAGTCGCCCAGAGGGAAGATTTAGTTGCATATGCAAGTTATTTATCGCATTGCAGAACCCTCTACAGTCATGGGTAAGTGCCAACAATGAAATCCAGCTAATTGAGTAATCCACATACAAAGAATGGGCCCCTGGTGTCCACTACAGAGGACATAGCATAAAATATGAAAAACAAACAAACAAAAAAACTAAATTCTCATACAAAAAATTTCTGGTCCTCAGGAAGATACATCAGAAAACAATACATCAAAAACTAGATACTAGAAGACACAGTAGTAAACTAGGTTTGTACTACATTAAGAATTAAATTTATTTATCTTTTGACTTTTAATTTAATTTTGGGAATTTAATGTTGATTTTAGACCCAATAGAAGTGAATGAAGACAAACGGCATCAGTTTCAAAAGTCTCATCATTTCAAAGGTGAAGATGGAAATGCAGTCGTTTCGAAGACTAAAGAGAATTTCACACAAAAACAAGCTGGAAAATCTGGAGTCAAAGGATCTTTCACCTGCTCTGAGTGTGGAAAGAGTTACGTGCATAAACCAGACCTTAAGAGGCACATGAGAATTCACACTGGAGAAAATCTGTTTGCATGTACTCAGTGTGAAAAGAGTTTTATACACAAGAGAAACTTAAATGACCACATGAGGATTCACACCGGAGAAAAACCTTTCATCTGCACTCAGTGTGGAAAGAGTTTCACTTACAAAAGAAATCTCAATGATCACCTGCACACTCACTCTGGAGTGAGATCATTCAACTGTGATCAGTGTGATAAAACATTTGTTGTGGCATCAGGCTTAAAAACACACCTTAAAGTTCATACTGGTGCGAAGCCTCATGTTTGCTCTTTTTGTGGAAATAGTTTTTCACTACTAAAAAATTTACAAGTTCACCAGCGTATCCATACTGGTGTGAGACCTCATGTCTGCTTTAACTGTGGGAAGAGCTATAGTACATCGAGCAACTTAAAAACTCACCAGAGAATTCATTCTGGAGAGAAACCTTACAAGTGTTCACACTGTGGGAAGAGTTTCTCTCAGTCAGGAGTCATGAAAGCTCATGAGAGAGTTCATACTGGAGAGAAGCCACACCAGTGCTCTTCATGTGGGAAGAGTTTCACCTTCTCTTCTAATCTACTGAAACATAAGAAAAAGCTTTGTTGTGTAAAACACTTGTGAAACAATGGTGGCGTCAGTCCATTAAAACTCTCAACAAAGTCTAAATGAAGGCTGCGTTGACACTTGGCATTAAGATGCGATTACCATGATCCGGAGCCAATTAAGACATGGTGCGTTTACACCTGTCCACTGTATTTGTATAACAGATAACGCATCTCGCATTCCTGGAAAAAAAAGGATGGGTCCTGTGCAAAGCCGACCTGAAATGGTGGGGTTTCTTTTAAAAACAGTATTCAATCGTGGTAGATTATACAAATCTTGCAAAATGAGGAGGATGAAGAAGCTGCAAGTACTAATAATGTGGATAGATTCCGTAATGAAAACAGTTCAGAGAAACGTATTCGAGAACATTGCCAGCAGTGGTGAGAAAAATGCGTGCTGTTTACTAGGGCTGGGTATCGATTCACATGTTCAATTTCAATTCGATTTCGATTCGCAAGCTCTCAGTTCGATTCGATTTTCGATTCTCGATTCCTGATTTGATTCTCGATTCGACTAAAATGAATGTAATGGGCTCTATGCACGGCGGTATTTCCGGTGAAGCATTAGGGATGCTCGATAACTTCCGCCGATCGTAGAGTCCAATGCAATACCGAGAATTTATATTGAATTTTATACTCCATGGTTATACTAAAGAAACGTTAGTCACAAAAACAGATAAAACAGACACCCCTCGTTGTATTTATGCTTCTTTTTAAAATTATATTAAATAA